ACTATGTCATTTGTTTGTAAATTGGCAGAAGGTGGCTTGGGCAGAATCCTTACAAATGTGGCAGGGGAGTTGTGATCTGAGAGATTGCTGTCACTTTCTACAATCACAGCATTTTCCAAACCCTCCACAATTGTACAGCCAGTTTTGTGAAAGACATCCTCCTGCATACTATTCTCGATCACATCTGGACTCTCGTCTGCGGAAGAAGTATTATTGCAACTTTCTTATTTTTGTTTGCACAAGTTTCTAAATCAAATATTTATCTAGTACTGGCTATACAATCTTAAAAAAAAATTGAATCAATTTAATCTAACACAAAAAATCTATCTCAGAAACATACATTATAATAATACAGCTTTCTATTCTCAAGATGCAGGGTAAAAACAGCAAAGACAGAACTTTAACTACAACTCAAGTAAAGCTAATAAGAAACTCAAGATAGACAAACCATGCACAGAAGGCAAAATGTATTCAGGTTCATCATCGCTCCCTAAATGAATTGGGTCATCATCCATTTCACTTGACGTATTCACATCCTGCGACTGGGATAATCCAGCTCGGTTTTTGACTGCATTTGCAGCACTGGAAAAGAAAAGAGTAAATGTTTTTTTATTAATAATCAGGGAATTTATAAATTAATATCTGAAGAGCAACTCCCCAAAAATTATAAAATACATACATAGACATCCAAACCTTATCCACTCAGATGAACACAACATATAATATATAATGTGTTATATCTTTGTTTGTTTTCATAAATGGTAATAATAATAATAATAAACTTTCTCTATGCAGTAGTTTTTCCTCCCATACATTGTACTTAATTTTATACGGAAGATAACACATCCAATTAAACGATGATCATGTTGCCCCCCCCCCCCACAGGCAGATAAACAAACAAAAACAAGATAAACTGAATAAAGCTGAACCGACTTGCATAGTCTGCCTGCTGGGATGGATGTCTTTTACTTTCTTTTACAGCAGTGCTAGTGGATGTCATTATCATCTTCATTATCATTATCATAATTTTCTTATAACCATTATTGGTGGTGGTAGCAGTACTAGTTATAGTAATAACCAAATCAATATGAATCGTAGTATTAACTAATATCATAATTAAAAATATTCCTCCAAAAAAAAGAAAAAGAAAAAACAGAAAACAAAATAGTAATAAAAATAATAATATTATTATCATCATGATCCTGACAGCAATTATGATATGAAAATGATGATTGGTGATGATGATGATGATTGATATAAAAAAATAATACTGATAATAATCCACTACTACAACCATTATGGCAATGGATGTGACCAATTATAAAATTGCCCCTAAAAGGTTGTTAAATACCAAGTAACTGTTGACAAGATGATAATTCTTTTTTTTTCAAACCGGCAAAGAAGCCAATATGGCTTGTACTATTACCATAAGAAGGAGGTACTTGGTTGTTAGGTGTTTTGAAGAGTATTGGATGCATAAAAACATGAACACCAGAGGGTTGGACTGCATTTGGGGGGAGGGGGAGGGGGAGAGAGAGAGAGATATTACTAGTCTATAATACAACCCCCTTGTGGTCAAACACTTATTGAGTTTATAAAATCTTAATGAAAAATCATCAAATTCAAGCTGGATGCAAGATTCTATATTTACAGAAAATAAAATATGTGAAACTCATCTGAAGGGGGTGGCAAAAAATTATCAAGTTTGAATGGTAGTCAGGTCTAAAAGAGAATGGGGAGTGTGAATGGGTTGTCTGTTGTGTTTTTACATCATTAGGAAAGCAATGATATTATTGTTAAACATGTAAAACATTTTTTGAAGCCAAATGGTTATTTCTTAAAAAAAAAAAAAAAAAAAAAAAAAAAAAAAAGTCATCACAAAATAAAAAAAATGTATCATCACCTACCAGTGGATTGTATCACACAAAATGTGTTATTTACTTTCCTAACATTCTGTTTGAATCCAATTACAACCTCCAATAATCTATGATGGATGGCCTACAGCCTAAAGTTCATTAGCTGGAGGTGCAGTGTCACAAAAGAGCATGAGTCACCTCTTCATTTGATAGTAAATTACATGAGAAGTCTACAATATCTAGTCCAGGGATTCCCAACCTGGGGGCCACAGGGTACTTTTTGAGGGGTCATGGAGGAATATGAAAATTATGACGTTGAATTAAACTGAATTTTATCTTACCTACAGTACCTATACTAATTATCTCTGGCATATTAATAAATTGGAATCTTTCCATAAAGTGATCTTGTCCTTTAGCTATTAACACCAATGCACTATTCATAACCAGTAATAATTTAATCTGAAAAGATGACAGTCACTGAACAGGAGCATGGAGAGTATTATATACTGGTCAGTGGCCACTTTATGAAAAAGGCTGGAAACCACTGATCTTGCTTTGTCTAGGTGGTGGAAGTCTGTTGGCCTTTGCCTGAGTGGCAAAGATGTGTCAATTAAATTTTACAGTATGGATACATAAAGCTAAGGCAAATTGAAAATGATAATCTTATAGAAGAAAAAAGTTTCAGCCGTCTGTACAAAAAAATTGTAGACATGAATGGTAATGCCATAAGTAAAGGAAAAAGATCACAGAAAGCCCTGCTCACAGCCTTAGCCACTCAGTGTTCCCGAGTTTTGGCTTTATTTGGCTGTGCATACTGACGTGACGACAATTTCTGCTGCAAAGCCTCCAATTAACCCTCCCTTGTGGCAGTAGCCCTGTCATGGCAACCAGATTTAAAAAAATATTTTGTGACCATTATCAATAACAGTAACAGTTGTAATTTGCTAACAAAAAACAAATTACAGATTACGGATGTCATTATTATCTTCATTATCATTATCATAATTCTCTTATAACCTGAGGGAGAGGGAGAGGGAGGGATATGTTCATTTTCTAATAAAAAATAAGTCATCACAACTGCATTCACTGCACCTTACTATGGTTATAAAGTATGGATTCTATGATTATATTAAAGAAAATACAAAATGCTATGCATTTTCTGTTTGCATATCAGCAAGATGGTATTTTCCCCGAGTCTGCATTTACATAAATCATGTTGGCAAATTGAAATGCTTTAGATTTCTGTTGTGTGGTTTTCTCTGCCAAAGGTTTATGACAACACACTATCATTTAACTTATTTTGCAACTATATCCTAAGTCTGATAATTTTACATTTAGTATCCTAGTTCCCTGGGAAATTTAACAAAAATAATACATTATTTTGGATTTCATTTCAAATTCCATGTTATTATTATTCTTTTTTCTTGCAGAATATAAAATACTAAAATACTATAAGTATGATAATTTTGTACACACCATTATTTATATTTCCTATTAACATAACATTAAACATTACATACATATCTATTAATAAAAGTTGGTAGCTATTTGAAATCCATTTTAGGAACTGTTTTCTCACTATTGTTTTACTATGAAGGTGCTGTCTCTCATAAATGCGATTGATGAGAGTAGTGAACATTTGAGTTAGTGGTACTGGCAAACTAAAATAAGTTCAAAGAATGACCCTTGAGGAACTCCATCTCAAACAAGTTATTCACTACTGCTTTATGATCTACTTAATAAAAGGATAGAGAGAGAGAGAGAGAGAGAGAGAGAGAGAGAGAGAGAGAGAGAGAGAGAGAGAGAGAGAGAGAGAGAGAGAGAGAGAGAGAGAGAGAGACGAGAGAGAGAGAGAGAGAGAGAGAGAGAGAGAGAGAGAGAGAGAGAGAGAGAGAGAGAGAGAGAGAGAGAGAGAGAGAGAGAGAGAGAGAGAGAGAATATATATATATATATATATATATATATATATATATATATATATATATATATATATATATATATATATTATATATATATATATATATATACATACATACATACATACACATGTTGACATAACCTATAACCTACCTATTCCTGTGTAGACCTGTATGAAGCTTACATCCTAGTTTTTTTTACAAAAATCTTAGTATTACTAATAAGAAATAAATAAAAAAAGGAAATTATAAAATAAAAATTTAAATACTACAAAATCCCAGTTATCAATTATGAAGTCATATTTATGAATATCATACTTTTCGATTAACAAGAAGTTTTCGCACTATTGATTCAATATGATGATGAAATAAAGAAACAAAGGGAAAAAAATTCACTCAGTATAATGTGAGAGTTTTATCATAATCCTCGAAGAAGTCTAATTCTCACCATAGAGCTATGCTATAACCTAAGGTTCCAAATCTTGTCACAAACCATTTCAAGCAATGATTCTTAACCATTTTACTATCTATACAAATTTCTTCCCTGCCCTTCTTGCACCATTAGATGCCCCTCCTCCCCTTGGAGTTACATGGGATAGGATGGGGATTCAGTGAGTATTGAGAACTGGATGACTGTTTTTGCATTTCTTTCATAATTTCAATATCAACCTATGGTCTTGTTGAGTAAATAATGAATAAAATGAGAGAAATCAACTTTTCCCCAAGGGCTTGTTTTTCCCCAATTTTAAGAGCTACTGGTTAAAAATATTTTGAAAAATGTATTTCCCTTATACTTTCACAGTATGCATATTTACTTTCTCCTAGTTGGTAAACTTTTCTCTTAACCCATTGTAGCCAAGATAGCAAGAATACATGCAATGCCCACTGTCTTAGTTTATGGATTGTCTTTACAAATGGTTCCAGAAGTTATTAGTCACCAAGGATTCCTTACTAGTCCTTCTTGTCTCATCTATCCATCTTTTTCCTCGTTATTTTTAATAATCAAATGCATTATGTCCTTTGACTCTTGGCTTAATTACTTATTCTCGATAATACCTACCTGTTTCTAACTTTTAAACAGACTAAATACAAGAACTTTTTCCAAACTCATACATTGCCAACTTCTATTTAATAAAGAAACCTTATGAATGATAGTTATGACTTGTCCTAAAACGGATATTCAACGAGTAGATTATGAAACTCGATTTAACTGATGAGCAACTTGCTGAAAAATTACAAAAATTCATATATATATTTCATTCATTTTCCTGTAAGCATATATAAAAAAAAATATATATATATAAATTGAAATTTTGTCCTGCATGAAATTAATTTTGGAAATTGGAAATCTATTCTAATTCTTCAATGACTACCAAATGAACAGGTCAATTCTTGAAATTCAAGTCTTGCTCTGATATGATGGTAAATAATCAGATGACAGTTGATTACTTATCACTGGCCTCATACTAATTGGCTACCTGTCAAAGACTAATCAAACATCCACTATTTACATTTTAGTCAGATAAAACTTGTAGACTCTCATAGAAATGTACCATCAAATAAAGAGTTCTATTTTGCCAATGTATATAGAACATGGAAGTTTATTGGCCTTTGCTGAAGTGTAGGCCACATCAAACACTTGGCAATATGCCACTTTAGTGTTGGACTTCATATTATAGGCCATACATCAGAGATAAAAGCAGTTTTCATGAGGATATGCACTGATTACAGATAAAATAATCATTATGAAGTGCTCTAGGCACTAATGCAGTGCTCTATGCATTAATCAAATTAATATTGAGATGATAATTCCTACTCTGAAAACCAGTGTCTTCACATATGATTTACCACTGGCAAATATCTATTTACAAATCATTACTTTTAAAGTTTGATAAAGGTAAAACATAAGAAGTATCATATATATGCATATAATTGTATCGTATAACTGATACTATCAAATAAATCTGATTACTGTTTCAATAGAAGTTCTTTCTAGATTCCTAGGTGAAGATATTCTCAAATGCACCCATATATTGTATATTGTATAAAATGATGACAATATCGTGTGCTCAACTGTGCTAGATAGATCTGTAGGTAAAGGCACACAAGCGCTGATCTTGGGTTTGGGAGTTCGGGAATGATGAGGACCCTTACTATTCGTAGCACACGGGGCTGCAGTTTTTAGAATCAGTAGGTCAAGGCTCTGTATAATTCAATATAGGCCCACATTATTAATATCATTCTCACCTTTTATTTTTGAAGGCGACATTGAAGTATATCTATTATTGCACTTTGTAATGTCAGGAAATTTCTTGTGCTCCACATCAGGCCAAAGGCATAGGGCCTTTACTATAGCACAAGTTTAATATATTTCAATAATAATTTTGTTTGGAGACAACTAACTGTAATAACAATAAATAATTACAAAGGTAACAACATTTAAAGGTATTTTTAAGTAAACAAAAGCCCATAATGCAATATAACAGCTGTGGTCTACAAACCACAACCCAGCAAGAAATATCAAACAATGTATCAAAACAATACACTCTAAGGTGATATCAAGTACCAAGCTACTAATTTTGGTGAGCTCTGCTGTGCCAATTTGTGCCTATAGAAACAAAGACAAAGCTAAAGTAGGAACAGAGATGTAGTCTACCCTCAAGTGCATTTTTATTTTTAGATTCCATAAAACAATAAGAAGCTATTTATGAATATAACATAGTTTGGGATAAATGGTCATAAAGTTGAGTTACCAGCAAAACTGACTCAGCAACTACCAAGTTCCTAACAAGTCCATGTAGTCCAAATGCCACAATCCTTTGAACTACCAACTAATCTCTTTAAATCTTCATTAAATGGAACACACCGGTAGCTAATTATGCAAAAATCCTTGCAACCCTCTCCAAAAGCCCTCTGGACACTAATCATCCGCTGGACTCTTTGAGAAGTCCCAAACTGGTGCCATCAGGTGCCCTTTCGTGAAGCCACTCGACCCCCACAAAGAACCCTTCGGGAAAGGCATATTACGGCCTCTACTTGACACACCCACTCTATAAGAGCATCAACCACTTTGGCAATTAGTTTTTTGGCAATCTTCCTTTCATCTACTCGAAAAATACAGTGATGGTTTGTACTTACGAGGCACTGAATTGCTTTTCTTTAAACTTCATGTTTTTCCAGCACTTCCGCAGCTGCTCGACGTTCCTTTTCTGACCCTTGCAATTCGAGTTGTAGATTTCTGCGATCTCCCTCCATTTCTTGGCCTTTTTATGCGCGGTTGTGGCGTCGGCTGCGTGGCTCTGCAAGATGGGATTTGTTTTCACAAGCACAGAGAGGAGAGCTTTGTCCTTGTCCGTAAAGCACCGACGAGGCGCCATTTTAACCCGACCGACGACCTACTCTGTTTCGGCCGACCAGAAGTGTTCGGTCGGTCGTGCCTTCAAGCCTAGACTCAAGTCCGGCTCAAGCCTGACTCAAGCCTGATTCAAGCCGAGCCGTAATTCTGCATATCGAGGAAATAGCCGTGGTACAACGTCCTTTCTGTTTTTATATGCCTGCTAAATGCAACTAACTGATTATGGAGGCGATATTCTGGTCTGAACGAAGAATTACGGTCTTTTCTCTCGCAACAGCACACTACTGGCCGCTATCCCTCCACCTCGATATCGACAAGCAGCAGACAAGGGCAACTATAGCCTGTGAACATCAGGCTGAAAGAAATCAAACTCAAACTACAGCATTGTTCATGATGTTTTCATCAGCCGTTTCTTTAGCACAGCGTTGTAGAATCCTCCCTCCTCGCAATGGATATTTCAGCTTTAAACTTGATCACGCAGAGAAATACCTCGCCTCTCACGACCGGTTTAGCTACTGTGCTGCCATCCAATCACGCCATAACCTGACGCAGATGAAAAATTAAGCAAAATATCTTGCGAAACTAACCAAAGAAAGGCAATAGCAGCGGCGTATCTCACTTGACTGGAATTTGATTTTAAGAGATGCAGCTTATGGAAGAGCCTTCAGTATCACGGCAATAATTACGCATCGTTTTGGTAACTTTCTCACTTGTATGAAAGTATTGGGGACGGTGTAGTGGTCGATGCGTTGAAGCACTTGCCAAGATTGGGACAGCCTCGACATTGATCAGTTGCGCTGACTGGACTCAAGGCAATATCTGCGACTGGGGATTATTCAGTAACTGTATTAAGTGGTATAAGTGATTTTTTTTCTTTTTCTTAATGGGCGAGTGTTCTTATTAGAGAGCAATAGTACGCACTAAAAAGTACCCAACCCTTTTACCCCCCATTTCGTTCATATTTATTATTTTTTTCCGAACCGCGGTTATTGAAGGTTCTGTCTACTCAACAAACCTTGTTATCAAGAAACATATTAATCTGTTGACAGGTAATACAACATGCGATTAAATAGACCCCAGTACTACCCGGACCCCTTCGTTTCGGCCGTAACCGTTCGGCTGAATCACCTCTAAACGTACGGCATAAATTGTTTACTACCCAAATGAACTAATTGTATAGAAACATTGCGTGGCGTAATCGTGGGGTGAATGTGTCTCCGTGTTGAGAAAAAGAGCTTTCATTGGTGCATTTAGCGTAACCATCTCAAAGTCCAAAGATTTTCGGGTCCTACACATTTTGTGGCCTAAACTACATTTGGCCTCAAGTTGTGACGGCCTGACAGAATTACGACATTTTTGAAAGAGGCGAGGGGTGGGGGCAATGGAACCATGTCCCTTCCAGAAAAAGCAAGATTGAATAAACGGCATAAAAAATAAACAGTGAAAACGGTAACACTTATGAATGTACGGCACACCCGATATATTCGCATTAATGGCTCATGTAATGCTTTTGTTTAGACCCTGATGCTGGCTTAGTCACATGGATGAAACATACGCATACCTACACAAGCAAATAAAAAAAAAAAAAAAAAAAAAAAAAAAAAAAACGCCTGTCCTAAATTATTAGTTATTTACCTTCCAGAAAAAGCAAGATTGAATAAACGGCATAAAAAATAAACTTGTTATCGAGCTTTGGGTAAATTTGCGTTGGCATTGATATCCACTTTGAGCGAATGCATTATATAGTCTGTCAGCTTCCTGATTGCAGTACCTTAAAGGCAAGTATAAGTTTTCTGCGTCTTCCTGGGGCCGGATTCACTAACATACGATCGTAACGCATTTACCAGCGGTCATTTACCATTGCGTTTACCAGTGATGGCAAAGCCAACAGAAGCCTATAGTAATGCAATTCTACCAATTAGTGAGCGCTATACAAAAATCTATTAAGTTCCTTCGCCTAATCACGTAACATGTAAACAGAACTAGACTCAGCGAAATTTTTATAATAATCGTCACAGCTGAAACACTATTAAAACACATGTAGAATAAAATATTTTATATATTTTTCTTATATCCATCATATGGATATAAATTACTGTATATATAGGAACCAATGCAAATGCTGTTATATTACTATATTATTGTTTACCTCAAACCAAAGAGTCCAAACAGTTTTTTATTTATATATTTTTCATTATTGTTAAAAAAAGAACCGGGCCAACCAAAATTCTTATTCGTCGCCATTTGTCGTCAGAGGAAATATTTCAAGCTTATTCTTGCCCATGCTCTTTGGAGTTTATTGTCAAAATGCCGACAGATACAGATATTGCTATACTCGTTTAGCGTTGGTATTGCCAGTTTATTTATCAGCAAGGTAGTTTTTTCTATAGCATTTGGAACAATTATGTCAGAGAAGAATTCTTTAAGAGTTCACTTATCTATCGGTTTCATTAATTCTAGTATACTGTAGGCCTATAATTTTACGAGAATTTGTGTGGATTTTATTCTTGCTAGTTTCATGTGAAATTTGCATTTCTTCACTATGTCAGCATTGTGGTATCGGTCTGTCATCATATTAGTTACATCAGGTGTAAAAATAAACCCCAAACTTTGCTTAGATATTGATTTTTTTTTGACGAGACAACACGTGATAACATCCTTTCCCCAGAAGTTACCAGTTCTCTGACCACTGGTAAAATTTACCATGGTAACTCCGATGGCAAGTGTTAGTGAATACTATCGCTGTCTGGTTACCATGGTAACTATAGTCACCAATGATATTACCATCGTAAGTGCGTTAGTGAATCCGGGCCCTGGACTGCAGGTTTTCTACTTTCTAGCCTAAAAGCAACAACAATGTTCATGTGACCAATAACATGACCACGACATTAAGAAGACAGTTAACTTCCCAACCCTCTTAGAACCACAACGCGGCATATTCGTCATTGCACAAAAGCAGATTACGATGTTTCAGAAATATCCGCATACAAAGTGGTGTGCCTACATAACCATTATGGTAAAGAGACGGATACCATTATTTGAAATATCCATATCCCTTATTCAGCTGGAAAGGCAATTTGAGAGAGAATACCGCCAATCCAATACGCCCTTAGTGCACGCACCCTGCTCTACCTCAAGAAAGATAACTACTAACAGAGGCAGTTAATAAACGCCTATCTAACACATTCCAGTGGACTCAGTCATTTAAACGCCCATTTGTAATTGGGTTTGGTGCCTGATGATTTTATGTTGTCAAACGAGTTTATTTAGGAAAGCAGCACCATTGTATGTCCTAAAGTCATTATATAAAGTATTAACTAAAGGCAAAACACATACTGATGGGTTTGTGCCGTTCGAATGTAGAAGTTATTGTCATTAGTAAAATTATAATTACGGCTTTTTACAAGGGTTCAGATTATTAGGGTTATAGCACAATCAAGTTATAGCACAATCGCGCAGTCATGTATGTTTATACTTTCATCTATCCATCCATCCATCTCTCCATCTCTCCATCTCTCCATCCACCCTTCCATTCATTCATTCAAACATACATAATACACACGTACACTTACGCACGCACACGCAGCACACACACACACACACACACACACACACACACACACACACACACACACACACACACTTACACACAGAGATAAATACGTGAATATAGATAGAGATATATAAGTATATATAGATATAGACAGATAGATAAATATTTATATTTTTCATGCATGCTTTGCATTGTTGTACGTATTCAGAGAAGGTTCCTGAGAACTCATTACTTACCCAAGCTTATCCCCCAAAGAAAAAAAAAAAAAAAAAAAAAAATAGAGACGAGCCAAAATTCCAATTGGTTTCCAAACGTGTGACAATTCCCGGTTGAATTAACAGTCGAAATTTGCAGTCACCGTTTTATAAAGTTAGCTAGATCATTGCTATCCGCTGTAATGTTTTTTGAAAATAGGTCTAGATAGCTTTTCAATTGTGCTTTTGGCGATACTCTTAATTTTTTATGATAATCGTCACAGCTGGAACACTATTTAAACACTTGTAGAAAAAAAAAAATATATTTTATTATATCCATCATATGGGATATATATTTACTATATATATAGGAACCAATGCAAATGCTGTTATATTACTATATTATTGTTTACCTCAAACCAAAGAGTCCAAACAGTTTTTATTTATATATTTTTCATCATTGTTCAAAAAAGAATCGGGCCAACCAAAATTCTTATTCGTCGCCCATTTAAGGCAAAACACATACTGATGGGTTTGTGCCGTTCGAATGTATTGGGAGAAGTTATTGTCATTAGTAAAATGATTTTAATTACGGCTTTTTTACAAGGGTTCAGATTATTAGGGTTATAGCACAATCGCGCAGTCATGTATGTTTATACTTTCATCTATCCATCCATCTATTTATCTATCCATCTATCCATCCATCCATCCATCCATCTATCCATCCACCCTTCCATTCATTCATTCATTCATTCAAACATACATAATACACACGTACACCTACACACGCACGCACGCACGCGCGCACGCACGCAGCACACACACACAAACACATACACATGCACTTATATAGACAGATAGATAAACATTCATATTTTTCATGCATGCTTTGCATTTATGTACGTATTCAAATAAGGTTGCTGAGAACTCATTAGTTACCTAAGCTTATCCCCCCTCAAAAAAAAAAAAAAAAAAAAAAAAAAAAAGAGCCAAAATTTCAATTGGTTTCCCAAATGTGACAATTCCGGTTGAATTAACAGTCGAAATTTGCAGTCACCGTTTTATAAAGCTAGATCATTGCTATCCGCTGTAATGTTTTTTTGAAATAGGTCTAGATGGCTTTTCAATTCTGCTTTTGGCCATACTCTTAAACCTCGGGTATGGTGCTAGCTTTTTATCCTGTAATTATAGAATGTAAGGATATATATACACCATACGCTGAGGAGAATGTAAGAAGACTTATCCTTGGCGATTACCAGGAATGCCCATATTTTAAGGCGCCAAATAAAACCACGTTTCTTTGCCTTCTTATCTACCCACTTGTCTATTTCTTATGTTTGATTTGATTGTTAGATGCTTTTTATGTTCAGAAGTGTTATCGGTTTCATAATCCTCCATTATCGGTTCTATAATCCTACATTCTTAGCATTTAATAGTTAATATTTTCTTACATTCTTAGCATTTAATAGTTAATATTTTTTTAGTAACGGTTTTTGGCGTACTCCACTCACTGCCCCACATCTTAATACATTCATTTCATTTATCATAAAGGCATAGTATAACCTGAATATAACAACAAGAGCACGATTATGAGATACGAAATCTATAGCTCAGATTTCATAATAG